CCATAGGCATGGATTAGAAGTGTCAATGCATTCAAACTGTATGCCTTTCTTAAATGAGACAGTATGTGGAAAATAGTGCATGAATGGACTCGCTCCTCCATATCTATGTGAGCTATTTAACAAATGTGTGGAACTCCATGAACGGGTCACCAGAAATAGGGAGTTACTGCATATTCCCTTATGCAAAACTTTATCAGGTCAGAGGAGTTTTAGATTTAGAGCTGTTAGACCATGGAATAGCTTGGACAATGAACTGAAACAACTCCCATAACCAATAAATGAGCAAGCAGTCCAGCTCAATATATAGCTCAGAGGTTTTTGTTGTTGAAACTGTATCTTTGATTGATAAGCTAGTATTACAGTAAATAATATGATTCTTGAAAAATAATTGATTTCCTCCTCAACATGAGTAAGTTATCAATAGTAGTATGATGTCATCAGTGATGTAATTGGGACATCATCGGATTTGTAGCGTTGTCATGGAAAGAGTCTATGTGATGACTGACAAGTGTTTAGGATTGGTAGGATGTACAATGATGAAACTATCGACATATTTCAATAAGTTAATTTTAAGTATAAATTTTCAGCAAAGATATGCAAAATGTTGCAATTAAAATGTATATAAAAATGACGTCACATGGTTACCATGGTAACTGAACAGTGCTGTCTGTCGTATTGTTGAGCGTGTAATGCTATCCGACACACACTTAGTTTTAAAAATTCATGTTTTGTGATGAAAAATATGTATTTAAGTGCATATTGTTTATAGCTATGACATCATTACAATGTCAAGCTATGACATCATTACGATGTCATCATATTTCCATGGTAATGCAGTTTTGTAACATTTTATCAACTAGTATTACTTATTTGACATATAACATGTCATACAACATTTTTGTAATGGTTTTTAAGTAATAAAATGATCTAATTTCAGTTTCTGTGTTTTTTCTTTGTCATTTCATGTCATACGGTTTCCATGGCAACGATAAGTGTCCAACTGTTACACTCTGTTGTTGCTTTGTATGTCACCAATACACTCTGAAAATATTGTGGTGATTGGATGAAATGTCTAGAAGTTATGACCTTATATGTTCAAAAATCCACTTAAAACCAAGCATTTTGGTGCCACATTTCACACCCAGCTGTAATACATTTTTAAAAAACTCAATAATTCATGAAGAAAACACAAAGAAAAATCATAAGCGTGTCATATCTGTATATGTGATACAACACGGCCGCTCATGTTGTAAACATTACATACAGTGTCGCTCTTCCAAAAATTGGACTAAAATTCCAATATTCAAATTGCCATAACCATCATACATACATATTGAATGCTGATTAAAAAAATTCATTGCTAAGAATTATTCGAACGGGTGAAAACATATTCATGTTATGCATGAGTCAATTCCAGGAGTAACCTCCCCGCCCCCCGGGAACACACCTGGGCATTTGATTTGATTGGTTATGATAGTGTAAATGCCCGGGTGCCAGGACACAACTTGAAGACTAATGCACGTCCCCTGGGCAAGCTGAGAGTGGAAAATGCCCCACCCCGGGGACGATTTTACAGTCGATTTCACAAAACTTTGACCACAAATGTTTGGAACTTCGTTGCGAAGTTCGCAAGTTCAATGTGAAGTTCGGAAGCTCATATTGGAATTCACAAGCCAATTTGTAAACAAAGTCCCTGATTGGTCCATGAAGTAAAAGAAGCCAATCAAATGTGTAGCTTACGAACTGGTTTGGAATCTCATTATGAACTTCGCAACAATCTTGTGAACTTTGCAACGAAGTTCGGAGAATTTGTGGTCAAAGTTTCGTGAAATCGACTGTAAACGTTAATTAAACTTTTAATGGCATATAATCATAGTCATTTAATAACATTATAGTATTAAACTGCTATGGAATATTATAAAACATAAACCTTTAATAGTTCGCTTATTCTTACAATAAATTTCACGCCACCTTGACCACAAGGGCGCAAAATACGATCAGCGTGTCCACATGCGTGCCTGAAACTAGGTTTTGCTGCCTTAAATTTGTGGGTGGGATTCTGGGCAATCATTTGTCAAATCCCCGGGGTCCTCCAATACCTGGCCCCCGTGCACATATATGAAAGACAAATTCCCGACCCCCGTGAACTGTCTATCGGGCAAATTCCCGGGGGTGTCCCGGGGGGGGGGGATGGTTACTCCAGGAATTGACTCATGCATTACATATGTACGGCTGGTATACTTTAATTTAGGGTATTATAATTAGTTGCGGTAGTAATGATGTGTTTATAACTGAAATGCCCTGTCGTCTGCCATCCGCGGAACTTAATAAAGTAAGCGTTTTTATTGTTTATTTACACGATTCTGTTATATGTCGCCAGCATATCTGTTTAATTGTCAATAAAAGTGGTAAACATGTCAATTCTATGTGTTCCTTCCAGGAAAAATTAGAATTTGGAAGAAACTTTGAAGTATGAGATTAGCCAAATTATGTACTTTATTTTCAAAACTGTCAAAACTACAATCGATTAGCAAAATTGGATATCTGTTTTCAACATTGTTAGTATTTATATTCTATTCATCTCACGGCCCACAGCATTTGAGTTATATGGCTCTTATATGGAATTTGCAATATTTTGCAATTTTTAAAAATTAACTAACGTAAGTTATGCAAGTTCCGCAGTTCCGCTAATTAGTCATATTCTTGCATGGCCATGGGTCCATTTCGTACATTACGTGTGAAACACTGTGAATCATAATTATCATGTGAATCATACTACATGTGATACACTTGATTTTGCTGTTATAGCCATTTCTTTGCTGTTATAGCCATTGCTTTCTGATCATTTGTCTTATGAACTTTGCACTATCCTTGGGATCTCTGAGTTAACCCATTGAGTGGCAGCACTCTCCACTTGACAAGTAAAATCGTCTGTCATTAGACAGTAAAATACTAAACTAGGGCGTATCATGTTGCATGGCCACTTAAAGGGTTAGCACATGCACAGCACCCAATCAGTTGCAGTTTAAGATTCAAAATATAGCAGCAAGCCCATCAGAATGTAGTACTCAGATTCAGGTACACAACAAGAATGAGAACATAATATCCTTGGCTAATTCTCAGACTGATATAACAATGTTTTATCAGTCAGCAACGCAGGCTACAGTGCGCCCAAATACCTCAAACTTTATCCTCTGTCGATGTAATGCCAGACAAATTTACTCATCCAGATGAGGAACCTATCTATACAAATGTCCTCCTTGTTAATTCATTGAGTGGCAAAGGCCCCAGACAATTTTAATCCTTGCAGCTTAATGTGTATTTAGCATTATTTAATATACATTATATTATATTAATATTTATTCATAATCCTTGCAACTTAATGTGTATTTTAATCCTTAAAGTATATTTCTTATTTTCTGCAGGTGCAAATGGGTGGTACAAGATACGGTGTTGGTTGTGTCCTCATCACAATCTTGCACTATGGAATTCATTGGACTGGTGAAAAAGATCATGGTCAAAACTGAAAATGAAGTTGTTTTATTCGAGTGCACGATTTTACAAGTGTTAAAACATGAAGAACACCTTAATGCTCACCAAGTTTGCTTAAGTGAAGAAGTAAAATACATCAAGCATGAAGATCTTGTTGATTTTCACCCACTGGGACTCCATAAAGGATTTGCATTGCAATAGCACTAAGAGTTACCTTTGCTACCAGGTTGACTATATATAGCTAGACTATATATTATAGCTAATGTATATTCCACGTACACAACCTCATCCCTTGTACGCCATAACGAGGAAGACCCTGAGGTTGCCATGTACACACAGTCTGGATTATTCGGGAGGAAAATCTTCAATACACCTCCAAAAATATAGAATACTGTATTCCAAATAATTGTCTAATGTCATATTCCAAATTTAAACTTTTTGCAGAATTCGAAATATATTTGATGAATAGAACTATCTAACACGCTGTCCTGCATTCTGAATGTGTTCCTTGCATGCATCAATCACTGTTTATTTTCAATGCACTTTCGGTACGTGATTAGCCTGCGAACTGTCTTATTTTCAGCTCTTAGTCTAAAAATAATGGGGGGGGGGGGCTTAGCTAAGCCCCATCTCAAATATTGGGGAGACTTTAGCCCCCTCCTGCCAAGTGCTGGAAACGAGGTTGCCTGCTCCGCTGCTCTTGAATGATTGCAAAATATTGGCACAGTAGCGCCTGTCAAACAATGTGTTTTAATGTTTATTACTTAATAAAATTTGATTTTGAACATGCCAAAAAAAACATTAAAGGCGGTTTTCCACTGGGCGAAATTTTTCGACCGAATTGAAATTTTCTTTTGTCTTGGAAGCTCTCAGATGGAACTAAACAGAAATTGTTTGAATTAGAACAATAGAAATTTCAGGCGGTTTACCACTAGGCGAAATTTTTTGATTGAACCGAAATTTCTATTGTTCAAATTCAAAAGATTTCTGTATAATAGTTCCATCTGAGTTCTTGTAAAGGCGGTTTTCCACTAGGCGAAATTTTTCGACCGAATCAAAATTTTCTTTTGTCTTACAAGCACTCAGATGGAACTAAGGGACCAGTCATAAATTATAGGGCAGGGGGCTGGAGAAAAAGGGGGTGGGCCACCATTTTCATGCTTGCAAAAAGGGGTGGGCCAGAGAAAATTGTGCACTACCATAGGGGTGGGTCTTGTGTGGATAAGAGTTAATTTACACTATTAATTAAAGTTTATCCAGCTTAACATATATAATATGAATGCAGTGTACTAAACTTGTTTGTAAATTTTAATGAAGGTTCGTAAATTTTGGAAAAATAATATGAAGGAAATATCTAAAGTTTAAACCATATCAACTATTAAACATCAACTATTATAAAACATCAACTATTAATGGTGCCAATATTGATATTTGTCATCTATCATCATCATAGTATTCATCAGAGTATTCACTAGTGCCACTGTCACTGTTATTGTCTAATGCCAATATTAAAGTCGGAGAAATGGTTGATTGATAATAGAAGTAGCACTTGTTATAAACATCTTCTCCATTAACAATTTCAACCAGTGAACATCATTCTTTTTCAATTTTGAAAGGCTAGTTAAATTAAGCTGTGGCTCATCAATAGTGTCTCCATAGCAGCATGTGACTGTTGAAAGGGTGATAAGTTTAAACACCCTCTTACAGTTTTCTTCTTGGTGCTCAAGACGACATTTCTTTGACTTTGCCCTATTTTCTTTTTGCCTTCTTTTTTTCGATGTTGAAGACTGTTTAGTACCTAGATACATCCGAATGTGCTTTTCTTTTTGGTTGTGCATCTACTATTTTGTTTTTTAAGCTTGTTATATCACTGTAGCACCTTTCATTGAAGCTATGAGCACACTCATATAGAGACTGAATTTTTCCAGATTTGATGAAGCATTTTTCATCATTCTGTCTTCTCACCTCTTTACAACTTGTCAACTTTAAAATTAATTTTTGAAATTAATCTTTGAAATTAATTTTTCAATGTCAAAAAAGTTCATTGATCTGATTGCATTTAGTGAGACATGACTTGATGCGAATATAACAGATAATATGATTAACCTTGATGGTTATGATATTGTCAGAAAAGATAGATCAAAGAATGGTGGTGGAGTTTTATTTACTTGCATAGCTCCATCAATTACAAAATAAGAGATGATCTAGTTCCTTCTGAACTGGAAGCTGTTTGTGTTGAAATTATTAAGCCACATAGCAGACCTTTTGTTGTTTCAGACCTTTTGTTGTTCAGTTTACCGACCACCCAGTGCATTATCAAAATTCTTTGATCATTTTGAAAAACTGATCAAAGCTATAGATAATGAAAATAAGGAAATGTACATTCTGGGTGATCTAAACTGTGATTTGCTAAGACCATGCAGATAAAGATTATAACATACCAACAAAGAAAATAAAGTCTTTGTATGAATTATATCAGTTATCACAACTGATAGATGAAGCTACTCGAGTAACTATGACAACTACTAGTCTAATTGATCATATGGTTACTAATACACCAGAAAAAATTTCTGATTCTGGTGTCATTCACACAGGTATAAGTGATCATAGTTTGATATTTGCTATCAGGAAAATTTCTGTTATAAAGAAACAAGAGAATATAATAGAGATGAGAAACATGAAAAATTTTAATGAAGAAAAATTTGTTGCGGAACTGCTCAAACAGCACTGGGAACAAGTTTATTTTTTTGCTGAAGACCCAAATGATATGTGGGAGATTTGGAATAAAATATTTGTAGAAGTCCTAGATAAGCATGCACCACTTCAATGCAAAAAAATCAGGTCTAAAAAGGTCCCTTGGATTACAAGTGATATAAAGAAACTTATTAGTATTAACAAGGGACAAATTAAAAAGAAAAGCCATTTCAACAAACCTAGAAAATGATTGGTTTGATTATAAAACGTCTAGAAACAAAGTAAAGTTAGTAAACATAGAACTAAGGAATGCCAAAAAAGATCACTATTCCTCAAAAATAGCTGGTCAAAAATTCAATCCTAAAAAAGCTTGGAAAAGTATAAACAACTTATTAGGTAGGCAAAACACAGTGCTGAATGAGATTAATCTAGGGGGAAAATTTTTTACAACTCCCAAAGATATTGCAGAGGGCTTTAATGATTACTTTTCAAATATTGGACCTGATTTAGCTAGCAAAATTGATATTTCAAATTATAATTTTGAAACATATACTAAAACTGCTGAATCAGAATTTGCAGCATCCAGCCTGTTACTGCCAGTCATGTCTGTCGTCTCTTGCATGGGTTTTCCAGCAATAAAGCCACTGGCATTGACAAAATTTCTTGTAAAATTATTAAGATAGCTGCACCAGCTATTTCAGACTCATTGACATTTATTTTCAATCAGGCTATAACTCTATCCTCCTTTCCTAATGAATGGAAAATGGCAAGAGTAATACCTTTGTATAAAAATGGCCAACGGAATATTCCAGGAAACTGTAGACCAATATCAGTTTTACCTGCGATTAGCAAAATTATGGAGCGAATTATGACTTAACTTTCGAAGTCTAACTTTCTCCCCAAAGTGTTCGATTTGCTCGATTCTGTAGATTATGGCCTTGAGGTCATTAGGCTTTAAGGTGGCTCGATATAGTTAGCACAAACATCCTGCTCAAGAATCGCGAACTCAAAACCGGGTGACCATTTTTACGCGCAGGTCGCGGAAACAGATTAACAAAATGAATGAACTTCCAAAATGACCTGACGTGAGCAGTTGCTCGCGCCATATCACGCCATTGCGTGTGTTCTATAGCGTTTTATATCAATTGCTGACGTCATTAAAATTTTGCATTTTAGAAAAACAATGCGCTATATCTCTTTATTTTGTCTGGTGACCTATGTTCAAATTTTGCATGCTGTATTGCACCGCTAAAAACGGGAAACAACAAAACGCGGACCCCAGGTCCATGGACTACCTTCGTGGACCTGGTCCATGGACTACACTTGTGGACCATGGACCACTCCAGTGGACCACTCTCGTGGACCACTTGCAAAATTTCGCCTACCGAACAATAGACCAAACACTATTATTCCGAGTTTAGGGAGCCGAGATGGCGGGAACTACTGATTATTCATTTCCATTATTTATTTCACAATCAATTCAGTTTTTGTTTGATGAACAGTGAATACTAAGTCTGTAAAAATGCTGAAAAAATGTAGTCAGGGTTCCATTAAAAAATATAGGAATACTGTGGAGAATCTGGAGGGGGGTGGGGCGGTGGTCAAAGGATTTTACTGAATTATTCGAATTTTACTGTTAAAAAATCACTTGAACTGTAGAAGTCGTAAGTTGCAATAACCTTTCAATGCCTGAAGGTCCTCTTCCAAAAATATTAATTTTTGAAGCTCGATTACTGCTTTTCTTGCATTTCCTGTAGCGATCGAGAAAAAAACCTACCAATTTTAAGGGCATATATTCGGAAACTTTGCATTAAAGTCGTAATTGCACACTTATATTTTAGAACGGTCATGTTCAGAACTTCACATTTTGTGTAAAGTTTCCACAATAATAATAATGACTGAACTCGACTTGAGCACATTTTTGCATGCATAGTGTAGAATTCAAATCCCAAAAATCTGGTGTCTCGCAAGTGGTCCATCAGAGTGGTCCACGAAGGTAGTCCACGGACCAGGTCCACAAAGGTAGTCCACGGACCTGGGGTCCGCGTTTTGTTGTTTCCCGCTAAAAACTTTCATTCTACAAAAAATAAAAAATTCTGTAATGCCAAAATAATTTTACTGATGAATGACATTTTCGCATTTTCCAAAAAAATGACATTACAGAATTCTTTTTTATTTCGCTAATTGTTAGCTTTTTGTCCAAGTAAAATAATGCACGAAAAAAAATTGGTCACCATGCTTCTTTTCCAAATATACGAGACGAAAGGCCATTTTGGAGTGAATTCCGTACACGTATGTCGTCATAGCAACGAACTATCTGTTACTAAAACTAATATAATTTGAAAGTAGAGTTATCAAAATATTTAAAAACCCCAATATCTGCTGAATAAATCCTAAAAAATGCGTAGTTTGAACATGTCAAAGTGTTGAACACCTGAATGTAACTGTGTACCAGAGCCACCTGGCACTCGCCGGCTAGTTAGTACAGACTTCAGGCTATAATATATGTTATATGAAGATTATATGTGCTCTATGTGTGAAATAAATTGATCCAGCCCAGTTGTTGACTCTTCAACAAGCTGACTTATGCTTATATCTCCAGTTTCATTCTACAATGTAAGAAATAGAAAAATTAAGGCATATGTGGCTGTACATAAATAATGATCTTGCAAATGATATATATGCATTTAATATTTAAATGGACATCTCTGTATATAGAAACAGTTATTCATTAAACATGCAGTTATTGCAGTTATTGAACGAATACCGAATGGTTTTCTATGCAGGATTGCGTGATCAATGCACACAGGATGTTGCGAGACTTTTGGAAAGCGTGAAAATGCACGAGCCGTAGGCGAGTGTATTTTTACGCTTTCCGAAAGTCGAACAACATCCCTAGTGCATGGATCATGCTATCCTACACGGGAAAACCATGTGGTAATTGTTTTATAAAATTACTACAGTGAAACGACGGTTAACTTGATTAAAAAAATCTTTTTTTTACAGTAAAAAGTACTAGTCTGGCAGCTTGGGCACCAGTACCTTTTACTGTAAATTAACAGAGATGTTAAATAGAAAAATACTGTTATTTTACAGTTGTATTACTGTTTATTTAGACAGAAAAACGACTGTAAATAAACAGAAAATAAGTGGTATTTTTACAGCTTGGGCACCAGTACTTTTTACTGTAAATTAACAGAGATGTTAAATAGAAAAATACTGTTATTTTACAGTTGTATTACTGTTTATTTAGACAGAAAAACGACTGTAAATAAACAGAAAATAAGTGGTATTTTTACAGCTTGGGCACCAGTACTTTTTACTGTAAATTAACAGAGATGTTAAATAGAAAAATACTGTTATTTTACAGTTGTATTACTGTTTATTTAGACAGAAAAACGACTGTAAATAAACAGAAAATAAGTGGTATTTTTACAGCTTGGGCACCAGTACTTTTTACTGTAAATTAACAGAGATGTTAAATAGAAAAATACTGTTATTTTACAGTTGTATTACTGTTTATTTAGACAGAAAAACGACTGTAAATAAACAGAAAATAAGTGGTATTTTTACAGCTTGGGCACCAGTACTTTTTACTGTAAATTAACAGAGATGTTAAATAGAAAAATACTGTTATTTTACAGTTGTATTACTGTTTATTTAGACAGAAAAACGACTGTAAATAAACAGAAAATAAGTGGTATTTTTACAGCTTGGGCACCAGTACTTTTTACTGTAAATTAACAGAGA